CACAACCAGTAGGCTTTGATCGCTGGACCTCAGGGACCTGCTGGGGGTGTAGGTACTAAGAAGATCACCAATGTAAGATGGTGCTTGTCCATGTAAGGCCCTATAGACCAGAACCAGGATCTTGAAATGAACCCTGAAGTTGACTGGCAGCCAGTGAAGCTGGAGGAGAAGCGGGGTGATGTGGGTGTGTTTGGAGGACTTGGTCAGAAGCCGAGCACAGGCATTCTGAACCACCTGCAGACGGTTCAGGAGGCTCTGCTCAGACACGTGAAAAGAGAGTTACAGTAGTCTAAGCGTGAGGAGATGAAGGTGTGGAGAACTGTCTCAAGTTCAGAGCGGGACAGAATGGGACTCAGCTTAGCAATGTTCCTGAGATGGAAGAAGGAAGAGCGAACAAGAGAACTGACATGAGAATCCAGGGTGAGAGCTGGGTCAAAGGTCACGCCAAGATTCCTGACAGAAGCTTTGGTGTGAAAAGCAAGCTGACCAAGAGAGTCTCTGACTTTGGGAACCAGCTTGTCTGGGGCACAGATGAGGATCTCAGTCTTATCTTCATTCAGCTGAAGAAAGCTCCCAGCCATCCAGGTTTTGATAGAGTCTAAGCAGGTGTGTAACAGCTGCAGCTTAGACATCTCATGGGGCTTAAAGGAGATGTACAGTTGGATGTCATCTGCATAAAGATGGTAGGAGATTCCTTTGAAGGAGCTCAGGATGTGCTGAAGAGGAATTAGATAGAGGAGAAAGAGCAGAGGCCCCAGCACAGAACCTTGTGGGACACCATGGGTAAGAGAGGTGGTGGAGGACCTAAACTTGTAGATGACCACAGAAAAGGAGCGCTCAGAGAGGTAAGAGGAGAACCCCTCCAGAGCAGATCCTGATAGGCCTACCCAGTCTCTCAGCCTCTCCAGTAGCAGGTGATGGTCAACAGTGACAAAGGCTGCAGTCAGGTCCAGCAGGACCAGAACAGAACGGTCCCCTGCATCACTGTGAGTCAGAAGGTCATTAGAGACCCTAAGAAGAGCTGTTTCAGTAGAATGAGCTCTAGGAAAACCTGACTGGAAGCTATCATAGATGTTATGTTCATCAAGAGCAGCTGTGAGTTGTTTAGACACAACCTTTTCCAAGATCTTGGAGATGAACAGAAGTTTAGAGATGGGTCTGAAGCTGCTATGGAGAGAGGGGTCGAGACTCGGTTTTTTAAGAAGCGGGTGGATTACAGCGTTCTTAAAGTAAGCAGGGACCTGACCAGAAACCAGAGAAGCATTAATAATGGAGAGCACGCTGGGACCGATGGACTGAAAAGCACTTTTAAACAAAGATGAGGGTAAGATGTCGAGGGGGCATGCAGAGGTCTTCATAGTTAACTAGTTTGGTTAACTCAGGCAAAGAAACAGGAGCAAACAGGTGTGTGTGTGTGTGTGTGTGTGTGTGTGTGTGTGTGCGTGCACGTGTGTGTGTGTGTGTGTGTGTGTGTGTGTGTGTGTGTGTGACTACATTTTTAAAAGCGTGATTCACTTAAAAACATTTTTCTGATGAGGCATCGAGAGGAGCCAGTTGAGTTGGTGCGGGCATCTGGTCAGGATGCCTCCTGGATGCCTCCCTGGTGAGGTTTTCTGGGCACGTCCAACCGGGAAGAGGCCTAAAGGGAGACCCAGGACACGTTGGAGGGACCCGACTCTGGACAAGCGGATGAAAATGGATGGATGGACATTATGATCGGTCACTCAGAAGCTGGTTTCAGCTGTCTGTTTCCACAGTTTGGAACATAATGAGGAGATGGAAGACTACAGGCTCAGTTCATGTTGAGGCTCAAAGTGGCAGACCAAGAAACATCTCAGATAATCAAAAGTGAAGAACAGTGAGAACAGTCAGAGTCAACCCACAGACCAGCACCAAAGACCTACAGCATCATCTTGCTGCAGATGGAGTCTCTGTGCATCGTTCAACTATTCAGTGCACTTTACACAAGGAGGTGCTGCATGTGAAAGTGATGCAGAGGAAGCCTTTCTCCACCCACAGCACCAACAGAGCTGCTTGAGGTTTGCTAAAGCCCATTTGGACAAGCCCACTTCATTCTGGAATAAGGTGCTGTGGACTGATGAATCTAAAACTGAGTTATTTGGGCATAACAAGGGGCGTTATGCATGGAGGAAAAAGAACACAGCATTCCAAGAGAAACACCTGCTAACCTACAGTAAAACATGGTGGTGGTTCCATCATGCTGTGGGCTGTGTGGCCAGTGCAGGGACTGGGAATCTTGTTAAAGTTGAGGAACGCATGGATTCCACTCAATATCCGCAGATTCTGGAGACCAATGTCCAGGAATCAGCGACAAAGCTGAAGCTGCTCCGGAGCTGGATCTTTGAACAAGACAACGACCCTTAACACTGCTCAACCTCTACTAAGGCGTTCATGTTGAGGAACAGGTAGAACGTTCTGGAATGGCCATCTCACTCCCCAGACCTGAATATTAGTGAAACTCTGTGGTGTGAGTTAAAGAGAGCTGTCCATCAGACCTGAATAAACTAGAGATGTTTAGTAAAGAAGAATGGTCCAAAATACCTTCAGCCAGAATCCAGACTCTCATTAGAAGCTATGGGAAGTGTTTAGAGGCTGTTATCTCTGCAAAAGGAGGATCTACTAAATACTGAAGTAATTTATTATTATTATTATTCAAATGTATTTGTTTAAACAATCATTACACACTTTGTCTTACCTCACAAACTCTGTTTCACTTCTCAGACGTCCCTGTGTGTGTCTCCTGTATCATATATTTAACTGATTTTTTTTATCGTAACATCCAACGATTTATACAAGAAAATAATAAAGATTAACCAGGTTGTCCAAACGCTGTATTCATGGAGATAAAGCATCAACGTTGCAGAGCAAACAGAGTCAGTGGTACAGTCATGTTGCTGTTATCCAATCAGAGGTGAGATGTCCAGTTATCAGGAAATAAGACTCTAAATCCTACCGCCTGAAGCTCAGCTCTGAAGTGGCTCACTTCTAGGTCCTGAAACAGATCAACACTTCTCTTCCTCCCTGGGTACAACTTACAAGGCATTCATTCTCACTAGAGACCAATGCAAATGCTTTGATTAACTCATTCGCTGCCAGCGTTTCTCGCCGTTTTTACTGTTTTTTTAAGAGTCACGGAACATTGCGCGCTAGCATGATGTCGACGCCAAAACAACCAAAACAAAGTGGAGACTCACCTCTTACATCAGGAAGAATCTGCGCGTTTTGAGCGTTATCCGTCCTTTCATAACCCGTTGTTGAATTGTGATTGGCAGAAGCTTTTGCGGTTCACACCTCACTTTTTTACAGCAGCGGCCCAAAACGATCTCCTAACACATGGATGTTCTGCTTCCGGATCACGTGACGTGTGACGTATGCGGATGAAGATCTGCTTTTGAGCTGAGACGTTTGTTTTCTCAGCACGGGGGCTCGTTCCGATGTCCACACACAGTAAAAACAATGCAAATGATGACTTCAGTCATCAATGGCAGTGAATGAGTTAAACAAGTGAACCACATCTTCAGTCAAAAATGATCCAGGTTTAGAGAGCTGCAGCAAGCTCGGTGGCTGAATTGTTTTTGTGTGACATTTAAACACAGATGAGATGTAAACTACCAAGGCCAGACTTGAAGTTTGAAAGCAAAACAAATCGGCCCAAAGAACGCGTCTGTAACACAATCCAGAGTCCATGGCGGTGTTTTGGGGATTCAAACATCACGATGTGCTGAACAAACGCTAACGCTCCAGAGGACCAACGTTTGTTGTTGCGTTCCTGAACCCGGCTCGGCATCACAAATCCCTCCGCCAGCTAAATGTGATCTAAATGAGTGTTTATGTGTGGAGGAGAACATCTGCTAAACATGCAGAATAAGAGAGAAACTCATCAGAGTGAAATCACAGCACCAGTCAGTCTGGACGTCGGATCGTTCGTACCACTTATGATCTGAGTTTGATTTTTTGGTGGTAATTAAAATTATCTTGTTGTAAAACAAATAAATAGACTTTTAATTGCCGTGGCTGATGAAAAACAGCTTTATTGTGTTTTTGTGTAAAACATATAATAAAATGGAGCTCAGGCACAGCTTACAGTCAGAAATAATGAAGTTATAGCACAAAATAGATGTAGAAAGTATTCATGAAGTGTGTTGTTTAGTGAAACTGGGGGGTACTTGTGTATTTACGTAATAAGTGACATAGTTGAGGATGTTTTTCCACAGACCTAGACGTCCTCCTACAACTCTCCCATATTTTTCAGGCATGCTGTTCATCTTCGTTCAGTCCCAGCGGTGAGCTGTCGTAACGGGCTCCATGTTTTCTCGTTCCCACACAGTGTGGCGTGTGCGTTTCTGGATTTACAGTTATTAGCATGATCATCATTAATACATGCGAGGATGAAGAGCATGCCGTGTGTCTGCAAGTTCTTCTTCTGTGGTTACAGACTTGTTCTGATCCAAAAGGCACACTTTGATTCTGAATGTTCCAGTTTTTGGATTTGCTGTCATGGACGTCAATTTTCTAACATTATCTGTGATTTTTGTCCCAGTTTTTTGTTATTTTGTTGTTTTAATCATATTTTCAAGTAAACAGACACAGAAGTTGTTTGTTATTTAAAAAAACAACAAGCATTATTAGGAATGAGAAAGAAAACATTTTTGCAAAGACCAGCGTCCTTTTCTCAGAGGACCCAGTTTGGATCATCTCTTTTGTTGTTCTTGTTTTTGTTCTTTTCCCCATAAAGAGGTGGATAATAAAATCTCCCAACAGCTTGTTTTCATCAACTTTCTCTTATGATTCGATCCCCTGCTGAGTGAATTTCCTCAAAACAAGAAATAATAATTATTACCATTCTCTCAAAATAATAAAATTTTCCTTGATCTCTTTTTTTCTTCAGTTGAAGAACTCAACGACTGGAGCAGACGGACCTGTCGAGGGTTAATTTGAGCAGCTCTGTGTTCCCTCCTCCTGACGCTGACTGTGTGCTCACTCATTCTTACATACACACTCACACACACACACACACACTTTCCTGGCTGAAGCCAGCAGAGAGACAGAGAGACAAGAAGCCGGCTGTCGTTGGCTCAGTGCGGGGTCTCACTCTCTCTCCGTGATCTGCTCTGGCCTCATCACTCCATGGGACTCCAGATCTGGCCTCCAAGCCAACCAGAACTGTCCTCCATGGCCTGCCTAGATGTGGAGAGCCCCTCCATCTGCAGGGGCAAATTCAAATCAGGTGCTTTTTCTTCATTTAACTCACTTTTTTTATCTGTAAATGTGTTCCTACTTGAGTCACTCACTCCAGATCACTGCAGCAAGGACAGAAGCCTTTGCTTTGAGGTCTTAACTGAAGAAGGAACGAGCTGTAGTGTCTTGTGTTGACATCACCCCTTTGAAAAGTTGTAACTTTTCCTGTAACATGTTGGCCTTGTTTAATGAGGTTTGCTTTTGCTTTCTGGTGTTTGTGCACACTGTGAGCTTCTCTTGCATGAACAGTCAGATATGCAGCGGATCAAGATTCTCACCACCATTTGCATATTTTTACCTTCCTTGTTTGCATTAATTAGCTGAGAACTTTGGTAGAGCAGGCTTTTGGTCGAAGGTGCAATACGTCCATACCTCAGTGCCACTGAGATGAATGTTTTCTTTTTCTTTCATTACAACTTTACATGTAAATCTAATTTATTTGTGACAACGACCAAATCAAGTTTGATATGAGAATGAATCACATCTCAAACTAGAAACACGCATTAAATATAAAGTATTTTCCATCTGGTCATGCAAGATTAAAACGTATGGATTTACTGTCTGTAAACTTAACATTCTAGTTATTCCAAACTTAAAGGTTTCTACGCTGATTGTAAGGAGCAGGAGGACACGCCCACTCTCGAACTCTTTCTCCTGGTTTGACTGTGGTGTTATTTCAATGCATGTATGAGTAGAAATGGCGTGTTGGTAGTTTGTTCTTGTCTTCAGTCATTTATCTGAAAATTTAAACTTTAATTTTAAACTTTCCATTCATTTCACTTAGCCTGATTTAGACATTTTGTTTGGATTTTTCTTCAAATAGAAGATAATAACCAGTTTGACTTCCTGAACCAGAGCTGTTCTGTTTGTTTGTTTGTTTGTTTGTTTTGATGACTTTTAATTTTTACTTAGCTGTTTGGGATCAATTGATCTTCGTGAACATATTTTTTAGAGTCTTTGTCTGAAGTTAAAATCACTACAAATAAGAATTTTAAGCCATTTCAATGTAAGTCGGGTTTCAGTTAAAATGAGCAAGTCTAAATGTATCAGAATAAAAATGTTACAGGGCACAAAGACGAGAGGTTTCTAAGAGTTGACTCGAGTCATTTTTAGGATGAAACGACATTTTGGATCTGTGAGTTTTATTCTGCTGTGGTTATAAATGTCCTAATCTTTAGTAAAATATTTATATTCTTTGGTATTTTTAACAGCAAAGTCAACACAACCCAGTCTTTTTCTAAACTAACTCCAACCTTGTCTGGCCAGCACCAGTTTATAAAAAAAAAAGTCAAATAAAATAAAAGGACTGATGCAGGGACCTCCAGGGATGATTTACTGAGAACAAGGATCTGAGATTAGAGATTACATCAGCAGACAAGGATTTGAGCAGAGCCCCTAACTTTTGTTTACGCTTTAGCAGCGAGCAGGAGCCGGTTTGCATCACGGGAAGGTTAGCCAGGGTTCAGAGCCAACGCAGGATGACACAGTGAGGAGGACCCCGAGCATGAGCTGTTCCCCGCAGTGATGCTCAGATTAAAGCCTGCATGCTCTCCAGCTTTTAGAGCTACTGATGTGTGGTATGCACTCATAAAGAGCTTTGCTTCCACCGTTCCTTCCAAGTCACATTAGTGGCTCTTCTCCCCATCTTCTGGTTGTGATCATGCCCCCCCCCCCCCCCCCCACTACCACCCACCGCCCACCCAAACACCCCCCCACCCCCTGTGGTCAGGGTTAGTATTAGGAGCCACAACAGGCAGAGTTCTCTGTTCTGGAGATGGTGTGCAGCTGTGAGAGTGAACCCGGTTCTCCACCCTCTTGTCACTCCCCGTTCCCTTACCCACTACTTGAAGACCCCCGAACACCCCCCTCCGCTACACATTAAACTGACCCACCCCCCACCCCCTAGCTGCCCCCAAATTTTGTTGTTCCCAGGCCTTGTTCTCACAGCTGCCCAGTTTATTTTTGCTCAACTGAGTCACACAGACCCTACGTTTCTCCCAGGAGAGTAGAGCAGTCTGTGTTGTGTTTGTGTGCGATTGTGTGTGTGTGTGTGTGTGGGGGGGGGGTCCCAAATCACTGAGAACATCTAGCTTAACTAGCCACACTCCACCACAGCAGTGACGTTAAAGGCCTGTGGTGTCATCTGATGCCTTTTGTCGTCTAACTTTTTTTTCTGCACGTTTCTGCATCGCTCTGTTGTAAAAAAAAATGCAGGCCCACGCTCGCTTCTTTATAAATGTTTAAACTGGGATCCTACTATAGTTTACATTTTTGAAAAAACAACACGAAGGCCATCCATCCAAGAGCTTTGTGTAAATCTTAGAAGCAAGAATCAGTATTTTCTCCTGGAAGGTGATCAGCTGTGTGCTCATCCATCCCCCAGGCATGAAACTGTCTATCATAGATCCGCGCGGCTCGCCCAGCACCATCGTCACTAATGCTGTCCCGGCTTCGTTATATGTTATTTAAATGTTTGTTCCTGCCTCTCAGCTTGCTTTGTTGCATTACTGCACTAGCAGCCACCACTGAGATACCGCCTCATTTGAGGAGCCGGTCGGGATATTTGGGGGTAGCTGTGGTCCTCCTGAAAACCTCGGCTCTAATCGTACAGGAAGTGGAAAGATTATCTGTGGTGGTGAACAGGAAGTAGGGTTAGACCTTCAGGCCAGCATATTTTTTCATTTAGTTTGAGGTCTTGCAGGTTTAAAATCTAAAATAGTTGTTTTTACATCTTATTGTTATAGTTCTTCAGCACTGTCTGCAGCAGAGGAGAACTCGAGAGCAGCTTGTGGAGCAAGGCATCATGCCTCGTGAGTATCCAGTGTGATGTAATGTGCTGTTAATTAAATGCATGTCCTGATTGCATCTTCAGCAGCTGGTTAAAAGCTCTGGCTTGTAAATGATTAGTTGCACTTGTTTGCGTGTTATATTGCAGAAGAGTTGGAATGTAAAACCATTATCTGGAATGATATATATGAACTCCTGCTCATCTCCAGTGGAGTCTGATGATGGCTTGCTTATTGTGCTCATAATGATTAATGATTGCCAGACTCAAAAGCACCAGCTCTTCTTTAATGGCTTCCTTTGATGTGTGAACAAGGGAGTGTACTCCCTTCACTTCCTTAGTTGGGTGAAAGTTTTGTTTAAAGTACAGCTGATAAAAGCCGAGCAGAAACGGAGAGAAAATCCTGCTCATATCTGGATTCATAAGAGAGAAAACGTTTTTATTTTACTGTTGTGTCCTGAAACGCCTCTGCCAGAGACATCTTCTTTGCCTCATTGGTTCCATGATGTCATCCGACTCAGTGGATTAAATAAAAGTCATTTAAATCCTCTGTTACCTGCACACCAACTTTCTTGGATCTCATCGAACATTCAGAATTTTATCACAGAGATGCGAAAGTACAGTAATGAGCAGGAATGTTTAGCTTTGTCCCTCCAACACATTCCTGGGAGCTCTTCAGAGTCTGTGTGCCATCAAACAACAGCTGTCATGTTAAAGGTGACAAGCCAGTGACCCAGACTGAAACTACAGCAGGATGAGTTGGTTCTGAGTGATCAAGAGAAGAGAAACACATGGCACAAAACAACCTCTGCATTTGAGTCAGCAGAGCTGGTGTTTCCTGTTTGACTCCCAGGAGCTCCTGCTTGTTCACTCAAACCAGCAAAAACAAAAACAAGAACAAAGTCAGGCTGCGTTCAGTGGAAATGTCCAACACAGCTCCATTAACTCCGATCCAGTCCGGTGATAAAGGACCAACATATAGAAACCAGTGTGGATCTATAGTTGGAACATGTTTTGAAGACCTTTCAGTGGTTTTCCTCAAAGTAATATTTCCAGATTCTTTTCCTCAGCTCTGAAAACACCTGCTGCCTTCCACAAGCAGATCCGTAGCCTGGAGAGAGCCAGGGTGAGACACCAATCCTTCATCGGATCAAAAATGTCTTAAAAAGTATTCACCAAAACATTTAGGATGAAAAAAAAATGTTTTTTATAGACTGGAAACTTCTTGAAGCACAAACTCTGCAGCAGACCAGAACGTTCTGAACTGGTCCGTATGCATATCCTGGAAGGTAATCCTGCTGCATGCATGCACGTGAGTGTGTGTGTGTGAGTGTGTGTGTGTGTGTGTGTGTGTGCGTGCGTGCATGTGTGTGTGTGTGTGTGTGCGTGCGTGCGTGCGTGCGTGTGTGTGTGTGTGTGTGTGTGCGTGCGTGCGTGCGTGCGTGCGTGTGTGCGTGCGTGCGTGCGTGTGTGTGTGTGTGTGCGTGCGTGCGTGCGTGCGTGCGTGCGTGCGTGCGTGTGTGTGTGTGTGTGTGTGTGTGTGTGTGTGTGTGTTCTTCCTGGGTGATGTTTTGTAAAGTGAGTAGGGCTCCTATTCATCTGTCTGCACATATTACTGCTTCGATAAGATAGCCGCACCGATATTTTGGGGGGGGGGGGGGTTGCAAGCCTTGCCTGACTTCGATGTGAGTCACTGTGACAAATCAGCGGAGAGACGGGCCGAGGTTGGCCAGGTCGCAGCTGAACATCCTCTCTGTGTTTATCAGAAACACAAGCAGAGCCCTCCCTGCAAGCTACACAGATGAAGCTGAAGAGGGCCAGGCTGGCTAGTGATCTCAACGAGAAGATCTCGCACAGACCTGGACCCATGGAGCTGGTGGAGAAGAAAATCCTGCCTGTTGTCTCGGGGGTCGAGGAGCTCATTGAAGGTGGTCGCTCAGAAGCTTTTCTCAGTCCAAATGTGACAAAGTTCTTTTCAAATCAGTGTAATCGACATGAAATACAATTTAATACAGGAAAATGTGAGTTTTAGGTCATTTTATCAGCTTGACCTGCATTAAGCTTAAATATCTTACTGAATGCATGTCTGAAGAGTTTCTACATGTAAAATGTTACAGAGCCCCTGATTTAAGGTGATTCTTACATGGATTCTGCTCAATCCCCAGATTTATTTGAAAGAGTAAAAATATCACTTTATTACATGTCTGTACTGTTAGTGAGACTTTAAATTTGTTCCTTAATTTCATCAATTCTCACTGCTGTCTGACCAGGTGGTGAGGCTGACGACTCAGAGGCGCCACATGTCCCAGATGTGTACAGCTTTGATGAGGACAGCAGTGACGCATCAGTCCCCCAACTGTCCAACAGCCAGCTGTCCCCATGCTCCACCCTGTCCTCCCCGAAAGACTCTGGATGGACCGACTGTTCTTCCTCTAACTCCAACACCCCCACACAGGTACAACAGGCTAAAAAGGTTAATTACTTCTGTTAATTCAGTCGTAAAAAATGAAACCAGCAGGAGATTAAGCGTACTTTCTTCATTAGTTCAATAATCGAGAACATTTGCGTGTGATGATTTGTATTTTTTCAGCTCACTAATTCACTTTTACACAAGAATGTAAACATGAACAAGAACGATAGAATTTACCCACCTAATCAGAATCGCACACGAGTTTTTAACAGTATTTTCTGACTGTTTCTTCGGCTTGTTTGGTTTTGTGATTCCAGATGAGGAACGGTGTTTTCTTGGGGTGATTGCTAACAGACGTTAAAGCTCCAACCTGAGCAGATGTGATTTCTGATTTGTGTGTCTGTTAGCTCTCTCCAGCTCTCAGCACCCAGTCTACGTCAGACGTAGGCGACTTTGTCTCTGCTGTCGAGCTTCAGAGTAACCAGTCGACGCGTCCGCCTCCTGCTGCGGTTGTCCCCACCGCCTCGTCTGGGCCGGTTCTCGTGAAAGTGAGGATTGTTTTTGTATTCATAAAGTGTCATGTAGGTTTTATTCAAACAGCTGTTATAATATGAACCTTTGGTTCTAATCTGATTAGTGTGTTGTGTTTTTACTTGTTTCCTTTGGAATTACGATGAAAGAGAAAGTCGGAGCCTGGAGTTTATCCCACTGAAGTTTAGGAGTTAAAGGGGGGTTAAAGTGTACCGTGCACATCCAGGAACTTACAGTAAATCTGTCTTCCAGGAGAGGCTGACTGGCCGTCCTCATTCAGAGTCTCTGTAATAAAAGACAACAGTCAAAGGGAGTGATGCAAAAAAGCACGCATCTGTCATTGTTCGTGTATACTGGGACGGACTCTCTCTCCTCTGGAAAAGAAACGGGGAGCGACTTTGACAAATTGAAGGCTGCATGCTTGTTTTGCTCACGCTGAGTTTCTGGTTTCGTAGCTTCAACAAAACCCGCAGCTCTGCCAAGACATTTTCATGTGTGCTGCGTCCTGAAACGGCAGGTGGTAAAACAATGAAGGTCACATTTCCATTACCTGTTTCCTCATCCTGCCGTCGTCACCGAGTGTCAGAACAAAGTTACACCTTAATGTTCAAAACTTAAAAAATAAAACTGCATCAGCTCCGAGTTGTGTGGTGTTTGCACTGGCAGTGTGAGCTGAATTTCCTTCATAGACTGGATGGAGATCACTCACAGGGACTGAAAGTCCTCCAGATTTTCCAGCTTTACGTGCTCATTTACTGTGTTGTGCTCTGCAGCAAAGCTTGGCAAAGCTGCCTGCTGACAAAAGCCGCAGCAAGAAGAGCAAAGAGCCCAAACCGCGGCTGAAAAAGCTGAAGTATCATCAGTACATTCCCCCCGACCAGAAGCAGGAGCTCAGCGATGTGCCGATGGACTCCTCCTACGCTCGTCTCCTGCATCAGCAGCAGCAGTTCCTCCACCTCCAGATCCTCAGCCAGCAGCAGCAGCAGTACAGCCACCATCCTGTCCTACCAGTTGCACTGAGGTATGGAAACCAGTCAGCAACACGAACCCTCTTTCATCACACCCAGACATATAAATGATGGTCCCAAAGTGCAGATCTTTGTTACCAGGGTGTATTTCATCAAAGTTATTTGTCAAAACTGTTTAAGCACAGCTGCGTTTCATCTTCATCACACTGCATTTCCTGCCCAGAGCTTCTTGCACAGAGGCCACTGGTTATGAAAATAACAACATCTCCACTCCCCTTTTCTCCTCTTGTTACAGCATATCCACAACTGAGTTACAAAGCAGCTGTCCAGCTGTTGTTTTCAGTGGAAACACATCCTCCTCCCCAGTGCAGCTCCACCATGCTGATAAAAACCACAAGCCAGATCACTTACCAGCTAACTTGGATGAGATGAAGGTCTGTACTTGCTCTGATCGAGCCAGCTTTATGAAGGCTGCAGTGATTGAGAGATAACTTCTGTTTCTGCAGGTTGCTGAGCTGAAAATGCAGCTAAAGCTCAGATCTTTGCCTGTTTCTGGAACTAAAACTGACCTAATAGAGAGGCTGAAGACATTTCAGGAGAGCTCCAACATCCACTATGCTGTTGGCAAGGAGACAGGAGACATGGCAGCAGCTTTACATTCTGAAAACATCACGTTATCACCACCAGTGTCCCTCATAGCTTCCAAAGTGTCCAAACTGGGAATAGAGGACAGCAACAAGACAGACACTTCAGCAAAGCTGGTTTCAGACATTCCAACTCATGCTGTCCACTGCATGGAGTCCCCAGATAGACACAGAGCATGTCCCACTGACACAAAATCCAGTGAGAAG